CATTTAGAGGGCCATTGAAAATTGTTAGTAGCCATTTCTTTTATTAAAGAGTATGCTTCATCAAAAGGTTTTAACATTAGTGATCCTCCTACAGCAGCATCTATATTAGATCTAAGTGATCTTACTAATCCATTGTAAAAACTTTTAATTATTAACTAATTTGGTAAAGCAGGGTGTGGAAATTTTCTATGGAGATCCTTCAATCTTTCCCAGGCTTCATATATGGATTCCCTTTCAAACTGACGCCCTTCAAACTGACAAAAACATTTAATATTGTTTCTAAGCTTAGCAGTTTTTTAGGGTGAAAAATATTTAGCCAAAATTTTTTTGTGATAGTTCTCACCAAATTCTGATAGATCTAGGTGCTAATGAATTTAACCAAGATTTAGCTTTATCCCTTAATGAAAAAGGTAAAAGTATAAGCCTAACAACATCATTAGACACTCTATCATATTTAAAAGTCGCACAAATTTTAACAAAACTAGTAAGATGAAAGTTAGGATCTTCAATAAGTGTTCCTCCAAACTGATTATTTTGTGTCATTTGGATAATAGCAGATTTTAGCTCAAATGAATTAGCAGGGATTTTAGATTTTAAATAGTTAAGTGAAGTTCATCTGCTGTAGGATTAGCATAATCTTTTAAATGTCTTTGTCAATTTCCATTTATTTGATTATCTAAGTTATTTACCATTTCGATCAACTTTTAATTTTTTTGTTGTTTTTAAATTTTTCTAATAGTACGTTCTAATTCCAAATTGTAAGGTATTAAACCTTCTGATCCAATATTTCACATAAACAAATATCATAAGCAATGAAAAATCACTTTAAAATAACCTTAAATATACATAATTGTTTTTTTTTTATTTTTTATTTTATATTATTTTTTGATTTTTTTTATATTTTATCTCTAAATTTCCTAATTTACTAAATCTATTTAATTTACCGTTACCTTCCGCGGCAACGGCGCTAAAAACTTGATCTCCGAAAATATAGTTGTGTAAAATTTATGAAGTTGACTCCGCTTTATAACGATGACAAAAACCTTATGTGGTATTTTAAGAATATAAAGTTAAGCACTTAATGTTGGGTTTCTATGCAAGTATACATAACATTATCAAGTAATATAAGACTTTCTATTTAAGTCCCAAATATCGATCCCACGAGAAATGTTTAAATTTGAAATGATAAATTAACTAGAAAATTCATAGAAATAAAATGAAATTACTGTCACTAATTTCAAATGTTTGAGATACTATCAGAACTAAATTATTAACCATCAACAAAATTTAAATGCAAAGTTTAAAATAGTAACTACTAAACTATGTTTATGTGATGAAGTTTTCTAATATGAAAAAGCATCTTTCCAACTAAAATGAGTTTTTGGTAAAATGAGATGAGATAAATGGTTTAAATATGTATTATGCCAAATAGAAGTAATTTTAATTCTCTACCCTGATTCAGTGTTATAGAAAATCATTGGCTAATCTCAGGTTTAGTCCCTAAATTTGTGGTTAGGCTAGGAGGATACTGGCTCTCACTCTAGAGCTCCCACTTCCTTTCCCCTAAAGGCTAACTCTCGCTTTAGTTCTTAAACACTAAGACCAAATTGGTGATTTTAGTCTGTCACCCTAAAAATCTCTAATTCTACACCCAATAATATATATTTCCCTATTTCCTTGCACATAATTCCATGAGTGAAATACTCCTTCATGGAATTAAATGTGATTCTCACTCTATTGTAGAACTCATACTCTATTTCCCAGATCATATATTTTACAACATATTTTAACAATTCAATTGGCCAGATGAAAAATTAAATTAATAACGGAGCTGAAAAACCATCACAATTTATTTTATATTAAACACAAATTACATATATAAAAGAAATTCCATAAAATAATAATAAACAAGCAACACTTATCTGAAACTCTTTATCAAAGAAAATCCCTTGTAGCCTCTCTTAGGAAATGTAGGAAGAAGAAATCTCTTACTTCTCTCCTTCTCCAACAATCTTAAAGAAGAATTCACACTTAAACCCACCACAAAAACTCAAAACTATAAAGAAAATAAATGACTAATGGACTCTGAGTGGCTATATGGAATGTGGAATAGCGTGGAAGAGAGTGGAAAGTGGTTGAAGGGTGCAAAGGTGTACGAAGCGGGGTCTTTTCTGATCAATTTTGGCTCTAAATAGAGCATAATGTCAGTTTTTCAATAGGTGCATCTAAAAACTCTTAAAAAAGCATCCAACTTTGTCGAATCCTCTAGGGGTCCAACAACTTTTCACAGCCCTAGCCATCGCTCACAATCCTGTCCTTCATGATAGAACAAAACACGTAGGGATAGACAAACACTTCATTAAAGAAAAAATTGACAGAGGAGATATCTGAAAATTTCTTCTAAAGGGTTCTGAAAATTTCTTCTAAAGCTCTATTTTGACTTCAAATTCCATCATTTTTGCTTCTTTTTTGCTTCAAGTCCTAAAAAACAATAACCTGCAATAAAACATGAAAAATATCTTCCTTTAAATTGCAATATCACCAAAAATGAGTATAAAATTTAGGTCTAAATATGTATATATTTTTAGTGTATCAAGGGGTAGGGTTTATATGAGTCTCTTCTTCAGTAGGGAATGGTGAAGGTGAGGGATTAGCTCACCACATCCAATTTTAAGTATTCATGAGGGAATGCCACCTCATTATTACCTTATGATAACCCTTTGAATTGGGCCATTTATTGAAAATAAATCATGTCATGGGTATTTCATGAGTCATGGATGACCCATTAATCATTTGTCATATGATGGTTTAGGGTTTAAGTGTAAAAATATGATTTTCTTATGTGGCCATGGATTTGTCTTGTTGTGGGTTTAAATCAATATTTTAAACTTAAACCTAGGTCTAATAATCTTTAATTTCACTCTTCTTTAATTATTTAAATAATTAATTAATGAAGAGAATAAATTAATTTGATGAAAATACCTAATTTTGACCAAAAATGGTAATGTTGACCAATTTTGACCAAGTTGACCATAGTTGACAAGATGACCAATTTTACCATATGGTGATGTCTTGACCATATGATGATTATTTAGGTCTATGTATGACCAAATGGTCATTTTGGTGACCATAAGGTTCAAAATTAACCATTTTGACCAATTTAGGGTTTGAATTGACTCACTGGACTAAGTTGACCAAAGTTGACCAGTTGGGTCAAGGTTGACCCATTGGATCAATTGGGTGTCAATATTGACCTTATAGTCAATGTAATGACCATTAGAAGAAAATTTGACTATATTAGGGGTTGTCATTGCTGATCTGATCATTTTAAGGTGTCATCATGGTTGAAGCGTTAAAGGGGTATTTTGGGAGTTAATTTAGTTTTTAGGGTTTTAGGTACTGATCCTGATATTTTTTATATGTAAAGATTTATGAAGTTGACAACACTAGGTGCCAAAAACTTGATCTCAAGTAAAGTAAAATTTTAATTATATATTTAAGTAGTAGGGATTCTACGCAAGTATACGTATCATTATTAAATAATATATAGCCTTCCGATTAAGCCCCGAATATCGATCCCACGGAGATCAAGCTTAATCACTGCGACTTTCAAGAGAATTTCTAATTTAGAATAACACGCCCTAGCTTGGAAGGTCGATAAAGTTTTGGTTTTGATTATATCCTACAATTATCACTACAATACTACTTCTAATCCTAAATTAAAATACTTAACGAAAATCAAAAAGTGGGGTTTAATATATTAAAACTACTCTTCCTCATACTATTAAATTAGTGACATTTTTAAAAGTAAAACAAGTAGTGAGAGAGATTGTGACAAATAGGAGCAATTATATTCTTTACCCTTACTAGAGATGTTATAAGGAACATTGGTTAATCTAATGTTATAAAGAACATTGGTTAATTTAAAGTTTGAATAGTTCTGAAGATGGGCTAGGCAGGGAAGATACTAGCTCTCACTCTCGAGTTCTCTCTTATCCATCCACCTGAAGGCTAACATCTCGCATCAAAACCTAAAACAATAGACCAAATTAAGGAGTTTTAGCCTGTCACTCTAAAGTCCTCTAATTCTACACCCATCAAAGATTATTTTCCTATTTATTTGCACTCAACCATATGAACTACATTCTCATCCATACAATCTCATGTGATTCTACCACAGTTGATTGAGACAATACCATCACGGATCTTACATGTTCTCACAACAGATTTTAAGATGCATGTTGATCAATTTTACATGTAAATGAAGAACAAAGAAAAATCATAACAATATATTCTACAATATATTCTCACTCTACTCTATAACCTACACATGCATACTAATTCATTACAAGATGGAAGAGTAAAGAAAACTACTCACTACACATGGAGAAACCACAAGAACTTTTCATTGAACAAGATTTTGAAAAACATACAAACAAAGTACTAAATTCAGATCAAAATACAATGAGAATACTTATCTCTGATAGAAATCAAACTCTCCTTGTATAGCTAAAGCAATCTCTTTACAATCCTCTCCAAGAACAAAGTGAAAAGAAAAGAAGAAATTCTCACACACTCTCTTTCTCTCTCACCTTCTCGCCCACTTGAGGCTCATGCTCAGGCCTTCTTCTTCTTCTCCAAGCCTTCTTCTCCTCTTTCAATTAATTCAAGAGTCCAAGAGTTATTTTAAAAATATTTCCAAGCCTTTTTTTATAATTTCCCAAGACATGCTTAAGTGTCTCTTCAAAAATGTCCAGATTCAATGAATCTTCCAAATGGTGCCTCAAGTGACTCTTCATAACTCCATATAACTGCACTAAATTCTTCTATAAAGTCCTTTTTATCATTTCCAATGAATTCCCCAAGAGACACACAAAGCAATGCTTCAAAAATCCTCCAAATCTGATATATATTCTAGAAGATATGTTGAAAAATGTCTTTAACGCCTAAGCGCTTTTAGGCACTTAAGCGCCCTCCTCTCTGTCTCGTGGTGCCTAAGCACCATATTTGGGAACTTAAGCACCGGGCACAGGCACTTAAGTGCCCGATTTTGGCCCCGATGGTTCTGGTGTGCCCCAGTTCGACCCGATTTGCTCCGTTTTACTCAGTTTTGGTCCATTTTTGTTCCTTTTGCTCCAATCACTCCAAATTCTTCACTTTGATGTACCTACAACAAAAAACACAAGAAAAATACCTTTAAAGTGCAATGTCGTTATAAAACATAGCATAAAAATAGTATATTTTTAGGCGGATTAGGTACCCTAGATATGTTCAAAGGGGTTAATGTTGGTAGACCTTTTGCCTTAATGATAATGATGATCATTCTTAGGTTTTTATGAATTGTCTGAGAATCCTAACCCAGAGGGTTACTCAAGACATGTCTGGTCTATGGATATTTTCTTAAGATCCTCACAAAAGTGAGGTCAACACTTCCCTAAGAAGTTCCCTGAGAACAGGGATATCCTCATTGGCTGCATCGTATTGTATGTAGTTCTCAACGGGATCTTACAGTTCATTAGCTACGCAAAGGAGAAAAATGTGATCCTCTTCACTTATCCTACTCCGGTATCTTTCAACACTACAGGGTTGATTGTGTCCTCAAAGCTTCCGAGGTTTTCAGACATGTACACTCCTACGATAGCGAATGCGAATCCAAAATCTATTTCAGCCAACAAACCTGTGCAACTTGTCAAGAGCGCCACAAAATGGTTTACCAAGGACGGGATACTCGTGGAGGGTTTATTTTGGAAGGATGTGGAGAGATTGTTGGATGATTACAATGGAGAGAGGAAGAACAAGTGAGTTCATCCCTAGGAACTAGGCATCGAAACAATAAACCAAAAAAACTGGGGGTATTATTGTTTCCCATTCTTGGACCTGATTTAGAACAAATGTTTTGATTTTGTGAACCCATTGTAACAATCCTCTAAATTTAAGATTTGGTGAATAGAAAATGTAGATGTGGGATATATATATATATATCTTGATGGATGACTTTGTTGCACTAAGAAATTCAATATAAATATTTAAAAAAATTAGTGTAGATGAATCCTAAACTAGGGTGTTCTCTCATTTGCATTTTGAATCAAGTCTAGAATTTAAGTTAAAAAAATACTTTAGTTGTAATTTTCATGTTCAATGAAATTCTTGAAAAGAAATGATAAATAAATTAGAAAATTAGGTTACCCAAACTTTGATTATGATTATCGTGAGAATGATATTCTACTTAATATATATTACTTGTACGACACATGCAGTCACACACATTGTTTAAGCATGTCATGTTTGATGCATATCTTTCTAGAATTTTGACCTCCTTTATTATAAAGAGAAAAGTTAAGTTGATCATTAACCATTGCCCTACAATAAGTATCCCGAGTTAATTATCGTTTGATGTTTGTTTTTAAAAAATGCTAGATGTCTGCTTTTCTATTTTTTCCTCTTTTATAAGAAGAGATAGATGGAATCATTGGCATTGCTTGATGTCTAGCATTCTTAATGGATAATCATTTGATACATGTTAGTGGGTCTGGCATTCGTAAAGTATACATATTTGACACTCACCTTCCTAGTCTTTGGTCTCCGACTTATAAAAGAAAATGACATGATGCCTAATTCTAACATTCATGATCACGCATTCAGATGCCTTCTAATGGCTACCAATTGATATTCATTTGCAACCAATAACTAACTCCCTCCTTTCTAATTATCCCATATTTTTTTCCTATAAGGAGAGACATAAAAGAATACTACAATCTATCATTTGATGAAAAAATTCCTACTTTATCCATATTTCACAATAATTAGAGACTACTTGAATGAAAAAGATAACCAACTTATAAGCCATATGCCTCATATGTTAGAAACTTTCATGGGACTTAATTAAGTAAATTTGTGCAACAACTTATTGTTTTGCATTAGAAACCCATATAACTAACACCCACCTATTGGACTTCCAAGGCCACTAAAGCCATACTACCTTTCTTTCCAACTCTCTTATTCAATTTTAAGAAATCAAGATGGATTAAGTTGTTTAAAAAATATACAAAGTAGAGTGGATTAAGTTGTTTAAAAAAATTCTTAAAGTTACTCGATCTACTATATTGTATTAATAATTTTTCTATCTATGGTGAAGGCCACTCATTGCAATGAATGAATCTACTAGTAGAATTATTTCAACTAAACAATACATGATGGTTCTTCAATAAAATTGATGCAAGGGAATGTTTGGAAATACATATTTTTTTATTTTTTAAAATTATTTAAAGTAACTTTAGACATTTTAAATATTATTTCCAATAATACTATTTTAGTGTTTAATATATCAATTTAACTTATTTCAATAACCCTGTGACGACCAAAAAAGAAAAAAAACAGTGATTTATTTTATTGTGTTTTGATTTAAAATTAAGTATATTTGCTTATTAAAATAAAAATTATAAATTTTTATATAATATAATTATTCTCAAAACGTAAAAAAAAGGCAAAAAAAGAGTTATTTCTAACATTTTAAAAAATAAGTTACTTTATTTTAAAAAATATAATATATGTAAAAATAATTAAATAAATATATTTTGAGACTAAAATGATTTCAACCAAACGAAAGTTTAACCACACACACGCGCGCACACGCACACACGGTAATCCCAAGCTCCACATGGGCGGCGTAAAAGTTTTCCTTAAATACAGAAAAATAATAAGTAGTTGGCCAATTATAATCCTCCCCAGCTTCCAACTAATTACCAAAGTTGCCAAACACGCAAGTGGAGTACTTGAAAGCTAAAGTGATCTCATATTTGTGGTGCGCAGCCGCACCAGCTAATCAGGGTTAACGGAATAGGGTTAAGCCACCGACGGTTATTTAACCCACTGAGGTGAGCTCCTCCTTCCTCATTGCACTACCTTTCATCTCGGCGGATTCAACTGCGCCATCTCGAAAAGAGTAACTGTAAGTTACCCCGGGGTTCACAGCCAGCTGATCTTGAATTTTTTTTATTCAAATTTGTAACGAATCTGAAGTGATGGTTCTGATTTTAGGTTTTGATTGCAGATCTCGGCGGAGTTTTGTTCCGGTCTGGCGGTCCGTTGGCGATGGGGCTGTCAAGCCTACCGACACCATCGGAGGGAGTGCTTACTCTCCTTTTGGTGAATACCGACACCACGATCTCGAT